CCGGCCGGCCGGGAAGGGAGGGGGGGTGAGCAAATCGGCCGGCGCTGAGTGGGACTCATCTGGACACTTGCAGATCCCGGGGCGCTGCCTGTCCCGCGCAGCCTCCCGGCAACACAAGTGAGGAGAAGGCTTCCCCTCCTCCTCACACTCAACCAACTGAGGGCTCCCAACGGCAATCGCGGCTCTGCCTCCCAGCTGGAACTCCCAGCTGCTCCCCCTGCCCACGCCAGGCTTCCGTCCAGTGCACAGCTGGAAAAATCAGAAAATACCGGACATTGCACGTGTCCAGTATTGTCTGATTTTTTTTACTGGACAGAGAGTGCAAATACCGGACTGTCCAGTAGAATACCGGACACCTGGCAACCCTAAGTGGAGCACATGAAGTTTTTGCCCCCATCTCCTCTACCTAGAGAGAACTGCCAGCTGTTCTGAACAGCTGGTGTAACCCACATACCTAGTGTGGGTCACTGTCCCATGTAGTGGCACTTTGACCACTTACAGTGAGAGATAAGAACAAGGGAGCTCTACATCCTAAGCTGAGAGCCAGCTGGCTTTTAGCTTAAGTGGTAGAGGCTCCTACACTAAGCTTCAGACAGTCCTGGGTTCAAATCCACACTGTGGCAGTTATACTGGCAGTTCTAGGCACCTGCTCCCTTGCAGGGCAGGAGAAGACTTCACAAGCTTCCCCCACCCCCAGGCCAATCAGAGACTGAGGGTGGAAGGAGCATGCAAAGTTTCTCACTCCATGAGCCTGCGTGAGGGCAGGAAGCAAGAGACTTCAAAGGCCCTGATTGGTCTGGGGGCAGGGGAGTGGCAAGTCACCCACAGGCTGGATCCAGCCTGTGGGGTGCCCCCTTGCCCACCCCTGCAATAGAGCAATGATCACTGGGTTTGGAGTTGCTAAATCTGAACAAGCTCCTGCTGGTCCCAAGGGGACCATCTGACTCAGACAGTCTTGGCACAGCCAGGTTGCTTCCAACCCAAGGCCCTGCTACTGAGATTTTTCTCAGCTCCTCTGAGCCCCCACTCTGAGCCCAGTCTAGGGGGACACAGAGCTGGACCCGTTATCTCAGGGCGGCTAGATGCAGACTGACTGAAGCCAGCCTAAGCGGGTCCCGCATGCCCCAGTTCGGGCAGTTCGGGCCTACTTGGCCCTTCCTTATGGGCCAGAATGGGCCAGACTGTGTGAGGAATGGCCGCTGATGTCAAACCATTGCCTGTTGCCTGTCCCGGGCCTTACTTTTACTGGTTGCTGGTGAGAAGGGGCAGTGCCTGCTGAGGCACCTGGACTATAAGTACCAGCGGCTGCAGCCCCTACTCCCCTTTCCTCTGTGGCACAGTGTGGGAGGTGAGCACAGCAGAGGATGGGCCCCAATCTGCTTTAGGAGCTGGGAGTGGGTCATCCCATGACTCCTGTGAGGAGAAGTGGAGGTTGGGGTGTCCTGGCAGGGCTGGGGGGGGTGCTCGCTCTGGCGGGGTGGGGAGGGTGTCAGGGTGGGCCTGAGGTGTCCTGCCCAGGGTAGGAGGCAGCTGCCATGGAAAGGGTCTGACCTGCCAGCGCTGGTTGTCATGATGATTGTCCTTACACGTGTTAGAACTTCTGACACAGATGAAGTGAAACCAAGTCTGAGCCCCTGGTGCTGGGTCCCTCAGGCCTGCTTTGCCCAGAGTCTCTGCTGACCTGCACTTGTAAATGGGAGAAGAACATTCAATAAACCAGCAACAAAATCTCTGAGCTGGTTTCCTTGCTGAGCAGCACAGCACTGCCTTTGAGTGGGCGCAGTGTCCCTCTCATGGCTTCACCAGCTAGGCAGTGGTGCAAGAGGAAAAGCTCATTCATATCTAGTGCTATTTGGCTAGAACCCGACCTGGGCTCAGGCCCAGCCAAAGAGGTTGTGGGGCCCAAGGCAGCATGGCTAAGCCACATGGCCGCACAGCTCCCCATCAGAGCAGCGAGTGAGTGGGTGGGTGGATTGGCAGGGCCAGGAGCTGGGCAGCGCAAGGCCCTGAATGTGTGGAGCCGCGGGGCCCTGAATGCATGGGGCCCAAGGCAACTGCCTCACTCGCCATGCCCTAAGGCCGGGCCTGGCCGAGCTTTCAAGATCAAGCAACAGGTTGGTATCAGGGCAACACTCAGAGCATGATTAAACTGATCCACTTGGCCCTGCTGGGTGCAAGTATGAGCTGATATGGGGGAGGATGGCCTAATGGATCAGCCAGCTGCCTCTTGCACTTGGGAGTGTGAGTTTGAGTCCTGTCTTTCCCTGCTACAGAGGCTGTACCCTTTTCCTTCTGGTAGAGTGAGAGCACTGACTGGGGAAAGGCAGAGTACACACATGCTACCTGGAGGCATTCTCAACTGCATCCGTTGGTCAAATTGTGGTCATTGGGAGTTGGTGTTTTTCATGCCCATCCTCCTCACACACACTACACCAACTCCTGCACCCTCCCTCTTGGCCAGGCACCCAGCAGGGCCACCAATGACCATGACCATGAGCCCCACAGCAAGGTATGTATGGTGGGGTGGCTCCATACTTCCAGAGGAGGCAGAGCTGAGGCCAGTCAGTCCTTAGTGCTGCTTCCCCCACAGCTGTGTCCTGGAGCTGGGCTATGGTGCAGCTTTTCTGTGGCAAGCAGCTTACCCCATGTGCTGGAGCTGGGACCTACAAGGCCCCAATCGGGCAATTGTCCTGGGACAGGCCCTGCTGTCTGGCTCCCATCTAGCTGCAGGCACCTGCTCCCTGCACATCCCAATCCCCTGCCCTGTGTCCCTTATACTCCCCAAACCCTGACTCCTACACACACACACCCTGCCATAACGCTCCCACACACCCCAGCCCTATGCCCTGAGCCCCCTATACATCCCAACCCAGACTCCTGTACCCCCACCTCTTCAGAGCCAGCCCCCTGTCATAAGATTGACAGAAGACAGCCTGAATGTGTGCATGAAGCTGGACTTGACAGGTATGATGTAAACTTCAAAGAAATGTGCAAAAAGATGCATCAGCAGAAGTCCCATTAAATGAAGTCTGAGTACAATGTTTCATGTATGCTATTAATCATAATATCAATCATCAATAATATTAAGTTGCATATTTTCAGTTATGCAAATGGGCATTCATATATGGTTCTTTGTTGACCACTTGTTCTGAATTTTGATGTAGTTTGGCTCTTTGGTTTGAAAAGTTTGGCAACCCCAGGTCTAAAGCTTTGGGATGGGCATCAGGGTCATCAGCTCTTTTCCTCTGGCACCAGAGAAGAAGGATGGGTTGTTGATAAGGGCACTTGTCTGAAACTTGGGAAACCCAGCTCTGCCACAGACTTCCCTGTGTGGCCTTGGACAAGTCATATAGTCTTTCTGCACCTCAATTCCTGTGCTGCTCGATGGGGTTATTGGTCTGGCTCTACTTCCCAGAGGTGTGTGAGGATATGTGCAGTAAAGACTGTGAGGCAGTCAGATGCTATGGCGATGGGGACCAGATCATGCTGGTATGGGCTCAGTGATATAGACAGAGGCTGGCCCTGATAGACCCTGTGGTGAGGAAGCCAGGATAAGGTTCCATGAATGACGGGGAGAAGGGGTCATTTTAGAGTGAGCATAGCAGGATGTGTTTTTCTCTGTTCAGGTTATTCTGTGTCCTAACCCGCGATTGTAGTGTGGCTTATACACCTATGAATGTGTAGGGAAGATGAGGCAGGGAGTGGGGCCATGACTCACTCCGAGTGACCCAGTGAATTACTGGCAGAGTTAGGGATGTAACGCAGGCAGCTCGATACTCCCAATTTAACTACTTAATTCCTCTACACTCCCAGATCGGGGGAGGGCGGGGAAGGCTCGGGGATTTGGGGAAGGAGTCTCTGCCCCTTTAAGAGTGAGCGCAGGACGGAGCCATTTGTCCCTGAGCGGCTGCCGTCTGCCGAACCCTCACATGACCAAACACAGCGGCCGCGTGAGTCTCGCTGCTTCCGGTGCTGGGGCCCCAGGGAGGAGTCGGACCCGGTGAGTTCCTGGGACACCCCCTCCTCCCCCCGGGACCTGCCTCCGCCCAGGCAGCGCGGGGGCCTTGTAGAGGAGGGGCCCTCGGGGAACTTCAGGAGAACCGAGGGGGGGCT